TGATGCTTGTAGTTGGACAGCGGGAAAAGTGGAGCTTCAGCGTGGCTTAAAGACTAGCTCACTTGGCAGAGGTACAATGGTCGTCAAAGCCGCAGTCACTCATATAGGAAACGGCTTAACAATATGAGTACACGATGCAAAGGGTAATATGGGGAAGGGAAAATTAGTGGAGATAATGGTTTGGGATAATTTCGTATGCACTGAATAGGATACTTAACATGTCATTGTAGCATTCCAAAACTTGAGTGAATAATCGTATCTAAATGGAAAGGATAGAAGTAGGGCTATGGCATGACATGGATTCCATTAATTTTCCGCTTGTCCAAAGAACTAAAATTCGTACGTAATAGTCTGCTGCAAACTTGGTTTTTATTTGCCTACCAGAGGAATGGCTTTTATGGGGACGGGGAATCTCCCCGGTAATAACCAGCGAAAACATGCATCTTTTTACCCAACCACAGCGATTTTATGCTCTTAATCAGTTGGTCAAAGCGCAATTAAATTTTAACAAAGGATACTGCTAGTTCCAATGTTAGGCAGGGCAGATGCAACCCTGAAACATTATCCGCATTGCTGAATTATTATTATTTCGTTAGGGTTTTTCTAAGCTTGGACGCACAATATAGATTACAGTTTAAACAAAGGCAATTATATACAAAAGAGACTGTACAGTCGTACCCAATCTTCCTGTTATTAGTCACATCTTTATCATTTGCATAATAACAAAGGTCCGACTTGCGTGTTGATGCTCATTGCCACCTTTTAAGCAAAATCAGTTTATCAAAAGTTCCTTTTATCCCAGTCATTTTAAAGATTGACTGCGCAGTTGGACATGTTGACGAACCCGTGAAGCAGCACACGCACTACCAGACCCTTGGCTATCCTTATGGCCCTACAAATATCGAAATGCTAGATAAACAAAAAAGATGGAGGCCAATAGATTCCAGTAGAGTGCACTGATACAGGAACAAAACTGATTGAGAGAATGCTTCACAAGCATTCCCTCCCAACTTTTGCACTAGAAGCTTCTCATCTACCCCCCAATGAACTTGTCCAATTGCAGCTCGTCTCAACTCGGTTAACTTGCATACCGACGCTAGGCGTGCATCATGCTATCGCTGTCAATAGGAATTTAAAAAGTGAAACTGTGGACAATGTCGCCACTGTTTATTCAGTAGATCCACATTTTCACAACAGCTCTTAATCAAATATGGTCGTGAGGCGTCCCACGAACACCTCATCATAAAAAATGAACTCTATAAGTCCGATTCGAAGCAAAAGGCAAGGAAAACTCAGCAGTCAAAGAATTTTTTATCGTTAGTCCATATTCATAGCACAGGCATATGCTTTAACCAAAACACCTTTGGTTAAAGAAATTCCACAGCTGGCGATCACCAATGGTTGCATCAAAGAAGCAACCAGAAGCGATCGACCGTTGAAACAGGGTTAACCGGTTCATCAACATGCTACTCGAGATCACATCAAAAAGTTAACTTGAAAAATTCTACGGACAAAGGATGCATGATCATATGTATACATGATTATATACTGGTTTCATGGCAGATGAACAGAAGCAGTGAGAGGAGTAGGGACACTCGAGTAATTCCGCGGCGACGGAGGTCTGAAGGTTGTCAATGCCATGGAGGAGTGGGGCGAGTAGAAGAAGTAGATGTATCTTTCCTACCAACAACAAATTATCTTAGCATGATTGGCCTTGCCAAGTACCCTCCGAGGATAAATAAGATAGGCCCCCTTCTTGTCGGCGCACATTATTCCCCCACAAAAGTGGTTTGGCCAGGAGGTTGCAAGGCATTCGCTCAGTGTGGTATCGTCAATCGGCTGAATTATGTCGATACCTCGTTTCTTCCTCTCCTTCATTGTGTGGTCAATGCGCTGACTGCAAATGCTCTGCTGCACGCGCTGAAGCCAGTAGATCCTTGACCACTTCTTATCTAGTAGCATTATACGTTCATCGGTAGTGCAAATAATATGTGAAGGCACAATGTTAAACATAACACTGGGCGTGAATTGCGTGAAAGTGTCCGTAGTGAGGTCTAGAATGAAGACCTTGTCGTCAAGCGGACAACTCGCCCACACCTCATTTTCCTGCCTGGCGATGCAAAGGAAGGACGGAGAGAGTTGAGGATTATTCAAAAACCACTCTCTATCAACTTGTTTTAGATCATCAGGGTTAAGACGACAGACCATGGCGTTGGCACAGAGGGCAACATAAATAGCACCAGTCACTCGGTCGATGTCCAGACCCGCGACTGTGGGTCGTCCCATTTGTGTCATGCCCACCGCGTCGCGAAGGAAGATACTCGAGACGTCGATTGTATTAAATTTATGCCTCTCACAATCACCACCAAACTCGTTGCTTGTGAAGATGTAATTTGGATCTGGCAGGGCGCAACACACCACCAGACCTGGATCGATGAGATCAGCAGATATTGTGGTATCTCTGGAGATCCCAGCGTCCTGACTTGGTTGTCGAACAATCACTGTCATATAGATGCGGTTTCTGAAGAACCGGATGTATTGTACTTCTAGTTTCCCCATGCTGGAGATACTGTCGAGGCTCCAGCGTTGCCGAAGAATGGCTTCCGAATCTTCCTCTGATAATTTCCTTAAATTTGGGGAGACTGTGAAACCCTTGCGCCCGGGATGAATAGGTACTCTTTTGCGCCACAAGTGAAGAACATCGTTGGTTCCATCGGTACTGACTGTGTACTGCATTACGTGAGTTCTCGACTGATTAGGCAGGAGATGCATACTAATGTATGGGATCTCTTCACGTGGTATGCTATTGCATTGACCAAGGGTCTTCCAGAGGCAAACGTAGTCAGAGTTCCGCATCATCACAGTCCTCGCTGTTAAGAGTTCTCGGTAATTAGCATAGCTTAATCTTTCGGAGTCTGATCGACACGGCCCCGCACCGAGAGCATGACTTGCAGCCGAACGAAATCTTCCACTACTGCTTCTTCGTGAAGAGTCATTACGCTGTTTTCTTGGTGATGCAATTCCCTTCATCTCTGGAGTGGACAAGGGCGCTGGAGGAGCTGACGGTTCAACCATTTCTGGTTCTGGAAGGTCGAAATGAGTTTGCTGTCCTTGTGGTAGCTGTTCTTGTTGCCGACATTGTTTCAGTTCTGACGATTCTGCCAACTTTCGAACCCCATGGAGCACTTGAGCCAAATTCAAGACAGCATTGCTTTTGCTTCGCTTAAGAGCCACAATGTTAGCAACAACGCTATTCAACTCATCGGAGGTAACATTTAGAGAGGTCTTACGCCGCTCCATGGGCGAGGGACTGTGAAAGCTGCTACGCGATGAACTGGGCCCCCCACTACACGTCCCAGAATCGCTGGGCTCCACCATGAAGGCTTGACTACGAATGTATTCCAGAATCGTATTGTGGTTAAAAGACTTGGGGTAGTCACGAGCAGCGTTCGACTCAGGTATCGTGTGAAGCGCCCGACAGATGGGACATGGCAATTGAGGTCGACTGGATGAAGCGCTTCTCTTGGGACGGGAGAGAAGTTGTAGAATGTAGGAATCGAGGCATTGGCGACAGAACACGTGGCCGCATGGAAGAAGACGGGGATCCTCGAGGAAATTCAAATCGATGGCACAGGTTACCATATCCTCCAGCGGTTTGAGGTTCATCACCTTCACACGTGACGTGGCTTTAGCCTAATCATTGTAAAACAGTAAGCGCAAGATAGGTGCATTCAAAGCTTGATAGTTTGGTTACCAAGCGGAGCTGAGACTTGGACTTTAAAATTATATGCTTAAATCAAAAAATCCTTTGAGGTATTTAACTGTTTGGCAAGAATATGCGAAAATTTATGACTTATGAATACGTATGCGGTGAGTGAGTGGAATTAGACATGGTTACAGCCTCAAGAGCCCGAAAGAGACGATTCAAGTGAACTGACGCTAGTTGAATTCGCCAAGACAGTGGAATACAAATAAAAGCGTGGGGATGGGAATTGCCAACTTTGTCAATCGATGGGTGGAGACGGAAGACGGCTGGAACCTATCTGCACGCGGAGCACGCGCACCTGCAAATGGTTGCGTGGAGCGCGCGGTGTGGTGAATTACTCACGCCGTAGGCCTGCGAACAGCCCGTGTGATGCGGACACTCCCATCGACACATAAAGACCACGGCTGCAGCGTCAGAAACAGCTTTGTACACTAACAATAACGACTTCGGTTTTCAATACATTTTTGAAAGGAATTATAATCATGTGGCGATCTCACCACACCGCCTACAGGTTATCAGTTAATGAACAACAAACGCATGGAGAAGTACAGTGACTAACAAAAACCCGGTAACCAATCGCACGTTACCAGCATGCAAATACCACCTTTTGCACAAATTCATACATCCAAAATCGGCTCTACGATCGACCCGTTTACACCGAGAAAATGAAATAATTTCATTAGGGTGGGAATATCCGTTCAAGTCAACGTGATACAGTTAGGAAGCTGGCTTTCGAAAGAAAAAAAATTTATACCATGCGACTCTACCGTCAGGCGATGAGAGGCCTTACGCATTTGCAATTAAAACAAGAAGTACTGTTGTTTGCATCTTCAAGATTTCAAGAAGTACTCTTGACTTAGAATGATGTTTTTTTCCAATCCATTTCAATGTTATGACTACTAAGTAAACGAAATCGCGTTTGAAAATCACTTCAATCCCAACTCGAGTTTTCGCTTAAATCTACTTGGAGTCCATGTTTTTCCCAACACAACCTGTACAAATAGATACATTGGATGCACGAAGGGGTCAAAGTCCAAGTATCAGATCTCCGCCAAACGAGTTGTAGGTATGTAGAACCAATGCACATGTAGTATGTGAACGCCATTTGGCGCTAAACTCCAAAAAAGAAACAATTTGCCTTGGTTAGTAGTCCCAGAATAGTTTATTGACATAGTGGCCATCTTTGCAAAAACAGGGACAGAACCAAGACCTTAAAAGTTAGAAGTAGTGGAAGTTTGAGTTTAGATATTTCGGCGCTGAAACAGTCAAATTTTGCGGTGCCTGGCCTACCTTCATTACTCTCAGAGAGGCCAAATTTAAGCATTTAAAGGTTAGCGGCCCCGAGCTGACACAAAGGACGTATGTAAGCCTAAGGTGTACCTAGTGCATAGGCATTGTGGCCTTTGGACCACGAAGTACGTGGAAATCTGAGGCTTGCGCGCATTCAAGACAGTTGCATGCGCAGGCACAAGGTCGAGTCCACTCAGGCCACGCTCTATACCTATGCACCAAGTGTGGTAGGAGCGAAGGCTTCCTCACATCGTCATTCATTCAAGATTTCCCCGGTGTAGTTGAAACGGCACTGGTGTGAGTACATTTTGAGCTAGTTTGAAACAAGATATTTGGTTCCGAAAAAGTCCTACTACCTGCAATACAAAGCGAGGTTTCAAAATTCCACCCGTTTTACAGGTTGCGATTCGCGCACACATTTTAGCAATATAAAGTAACACCAAAACTACTTTCGTTTTATTTACCAGTGTCAAAGGCACTCTCTTTAGACCAATTCGAAGAGTGACCCAACCTTCATCAGTGTACACAACTAACACCATTTACGCATTCTTTGAATCCCACCAAACCTGAAGCCTACCTTTGCGACATCCTGCGTCCATGGGAAGAGAACACTTGAATTGAGCAAAGACTGAACTGGGTCAAACATTCCCACTGCATCTACTTACGACTATTGAGCACAGGTAAATAAGCAGGAGCATGCCATGATAGCCCTCCTAATAGCAAAATCGACTGCAATAAATGCGCCACAGAGTATGGAAACAACTGGATCATGTACATCTTGAAAACTGGCAGAGGCAGTAACCACAAACACGGAACAAAAAGGACGCATTCCTAGAGCCTATTGAGGACTTCTACATTGCGGAGAGCTTTGCCTACGACTCATTACCACAGCGGCTTCCGCAATAACAGTTCTTTTGTGAAAAAATTGTAATAAACATAGTGACTGCCAGGATTAAATGGAACGAAATCTGTTAAAGCCATATCGCCCACGTAACATGCAGGAGATGGGGACGAGGAGAAGTGGGAAAGGACTTAAGGTCAATGAAAGCGTGTTGCGTTTCAAGGTTATGCACGCGCATATCCATGATGGTGCGCGATAGTTGGGTCACAGCGTTACTTTTGATGCTTTGGAGTTCCGCTAAGCAAGAAGTAGTATCGAAACAATAAAATATGAATGTCAATCCAAAAAAAATTTGATGCTAGAGAGTAAACGGGAGTTCCGCCTAAAACTCACGGTTTGGCAACATCTTGATAATAAAAAGGAAATCAAGTGAGGGCAACAAATTTGCTAAAGAATAGTCTTGAAGAGAGATACAATGGTCATAGGCCATTCGATCTAAACTAGCTTGTTCACCTGGAGGTTAGTTCTCCTCCTCATAAAGTTCTAGGTCCAACTCAAAAAATACAATGAACACAGTACTCCTCTTGCGCATTGGCTTACAACGCGTCCCAAGCAATGTTCAAAGGAAGGACCACCCATCTGTAGAACCTTAGGCCTCCTTGCCTACATGAGTTGGACTTTTGCAAAGCAGACTTTACCATCACCTCTCAGAAAACCGATTTTTGCTTGGACCAACAAGTCCAAGAAACATGGAATTATTTACGGAAGTTTTATAGATGCGTAAAGAAGGCATCTCAGTTTGAGCATTAAACAGCTATTGAAAAAACACGCGGGAGAACTCTTCCCACAGATTCGAGTACGAGTCATTTGCTCCAACAATGTCCTTTTGTGCATAAAACCCAAAGACTCACCACAATTATTAAATGTCAAACTCAACTTTGCGTGCTGTGCAAAATGATGCTCAATCGCAGGCAAAATGTGTGAGCTTGTAACACATTCAATGGATCAGAGTGTCGATAAAGGGGATAAACAACATCATAGAATTACGTTCACAGAGACATTGCTGTCGCATGCTGGACATCAAATATCCAAACGGCTATTATGAATGGAAGGACTAAAAAAAATTCCGAAGACTTAAACGGTGATGGCTAGGGCCAGCCTGAAAAGTTAAAAGGTTTCTTAGAGCTAGCGGACAACCAGCATATTAGTTCCTCCGGGAGCGAAATCTTCCCCAACATTATTTCAGATTTGTAAACCGATTGGTGATTAAAAAATGCCAGCTACCAAAAACTGCACGATATTGCAGAGATCGTAACATGCATGTCAAATTCAGCTTGACATATTTAAAATGGCATTACAACTCACATTGCGAAGTCAGGAGGAACAAGCAATCTAGCTGAATGGCTTAGAAATCGATCCTATCCATTATTTTGGAGACTTACTGATCCTTTTGTTTCAGGAAGGTTAGCATGAGATGATCCTCGTCGGGAATTCCTGAAGCTAAGATTTGCTGCTGAGAGACGTGAACAGGACTCCCCGAAAGCCGACATTAAAATCGTTAAAAATATAGTCCTGAAAATCCTCAGTGGAAAACTGATTAGGCAATTGAAAATACTCCTGAGGTAAGGATAAAAACGATGCCTCCTAGCGTCACGGCGACGACTAACCGGCGGGTCCAAGTGAAGCTGACAGTGGCAATGCGATGCCATTTCGCAATGGTACTTGACGAACCAGAAGGCAGCCCTCAGATTCTGAGTTTGTTCATTGGTTAGCGCACTCCCGCTCTACTTCCAATCGGCCATTTATTAGCTGGTAAATTAACCAATCACTGCATGAGCAAACAATTCGACCTTGTCCCAGATTGTGCGTCGGTACTTCTTCAAACCACCTTGTCGAATACGTTTATTTTTTTAATAGCTCTGAAAATTTGAGAAAGTGCACATTAATCACATAAATTCCAGAACTTAACATAGTCATAAGTTTATCATCAAAAATCGTTGTTATCACCTTGACCTCAGAATAGATGTAGGCAAGACCTCCAGTTTGCCATCAATGCGATAGTGAAAGACATGTTGAGTTCCAAGGTCTAAAGTACAATGCGTTTGATTTTTTTTGAACATATGTTCTCATAGTAGCGATTTGCCTAGCCTGTAGCTATCAAAACTCATTTCTCTTGTATGTCAGTCGAGGATCGAAATCGTGCTGCTCCACTGCCACCTCAACATGTCTTGGAGAGTCATGTGATACGGACAAAGGCCTACGTGTGCCACAGTGCAAACACTGCTACTCACATCTACACGCCGAAACAAAGCCCGAGTGGGGAGGAGGTGGCTGCTACTGCTTACTATAGCCAAATATTTGCACTAGCCAATTCCAATCAAAAAAACACCTTTAAAAAGATAACTCAAAAACGACCCTGTGGCCTTCAGTGTAACTTTCGGCAATGACTTTTAGTAAATTATGAAAAGTCATACAATGTTCCCAACAGTTTACGCGTTTTCCAAAGAACGAATGTGTCTCACTAGGATAGCACGACAGCCTCCACAGATTTGAAATGCACTCGTTCACTTTCCAGTTTCAGTGCGCCTCGGAGTCTAGATTGGATGCAAAACACAGCAGTGGGACGCGCCGTCCAGCTGCGCTCTAAACGACTTGTTTCTGATGCTGACTCCTTGTGAGTGGGTGCGTTGGATTCGGAGAGATCTACGCTTTGTCAGTACTGTGGAAGTGTGTGTCGTCTTCGAGACGTTACGGGCATGGACAACGAGAGTGACTAAAGAGTACAATCACAAGTGCATTCTTTGGGAAAGTGGTGGTTGAGGCTAAGCACCCAACCTACACCCCATGCATCAAAAAATTGACATTGGGCGCCAAAGTCGATGAATTACCCTCTGCCGCACCCTTCCCACCTACCTCATAAGAAGGTGTTGGTCATTGCCGTTTAGCATTAAATGAAACAACCCAATTGTCTCCAGTCCACCCACTCAATGGTCCATACTTTTATGCTATATGATAGAGATGTGTGTGTGTGTGTGTGT